AAATTATATTTATTTTATTTGTCTCAATTTATGAGACATATTTTATTTTGTAGTCAGTCTTAAAATAAAATAAAATATTTTTATATTTAATTTGTGTTTGAAAATGTGATATGAAGTCATTATTTCAAATCATGATTTTTAAGTCATTATTGTAGAAATTTCACATTTAGGATTAGAGAGATCAAGGACTGTATTGATTTACTGATAGTATTGATGAAAATAATGTTGAGTTACAAGCTCCTTATATATGATAAAATTGTAGAGTCCTAAATTATATGTACTTAGTACCACTACAATACCTATAATACCTATGACTACTGTATTTAGAAAATAATTATAAATAATTAAATTCTAATTGTACTATAATTCTAATAGTAATCCTAGTCGTACTATAATCCTAATTAATATAATTAGTCTATTCTAATGCGACTCTAATTCTACAACAATGATGTAAACTCGTCGATCAGTTTTGTTGGACCCGTTCCTTTGACATGTTCCAATCATCAGCTTCCTTCTTCATCAACACTTGTTGCATATACTTCAGTCAGTTGCGTTGGACCTATTTCTTTGACATGTTTCAATTGTCAACTTCCTTCTCTTCAACAATCAAGACTTGCTGCAGACACGTCAGTCAGTTGCGTCGGACTTGTTCCTATGACATGTTCCAATCATCAACTTCCTTCTTCTTCAACAATTATATAGACATACAATTTGAGATCATAATTCGAAATTCTCCAAAATACATGATTTGACATTTAAAATCTTCGAAAATTTATATTTTGATTAAAAAGTTTCATCATTGTAAATTTTTAAAAAAAATAAAAAATAATGCTTGGGTGAGGAGATTGTTTGTACCATGCGAAATGAATTATATTAAAGAATAACTAGTTACTACTATTTTTGATTAGTGAATCCTTATAAAATTATGTGTATTTAATTTAAAATTTTGTAACCGCAAACATTTACTTATAAAAGGAACATGAAATAATGTGATTTATCAATGACATTTTAGGATATGTTGATAGTTTGTTTACGAAATGTGATTTGCTCAGTTAGGAAGAATTTTAGAAGGAATTGATTTTATTTTTTTTATAGTTTTCACAACATGTGGGTTTTTCATGTCTATAAAAAAGATACAATTAAGAAATTTCAAAATACACGCTCAAATAAAACTTCTACCTCATATCAGTTTGATTTCACATAGAATGTCTAAACGACCCTTAGAATGAATTTAACTTTCAAATATCAATTTAACCCGTAATGGTATAATTCATAGCCCCACAAACATTTATGTAATGGTCCAGTCCAATAGTGATATTATCCACTTTGGGCCTAAGCCCACACAACTTTAAAACGTGTTACTAGTTAGTAAGGCAAACTTATTTAAATACCCAACATCTATATTGTGTTTTATCGATGTGGAACTTCTAATCTTAAGCTGGGGCGTCGCATTAGCATCCTCGTTGAGGTTTGCCACATCATATGAAATTTGCCTATATACAACACTGAGGTTTGTCCCGCCTCATCGAGATTTGCGTAAACTCAATTGAGCTCCGGCCCACATCGATAAGCCCAACACAAGAGTTACTCCAATACAATTGTAGCTCAGTAGCGATTCCTATTTGGGCCTAGACCCATATGACTTTAAAACACGCAACTAGTTGGACCTAGATCCGTACGACTTTATCAATGTGAGACTTATAAACAAAATATAAGACTCCAAAATTAAAGTCATACTTCAAAAAAAAAAATTATAAGCTATTTTTTTTACTATAATTTGTTGTTGATTCTTGTGCTTTGAGATGAATAGATTTTTGAAGAGAAATAGTTCTTCTCAACCAAGGGTTAGTTTTAGAGACATGGTTTAAGGGTTCATTTTCTAGATGGTTGGAGTATAATATGCAAAGAAGATGTAATATTTTGCTTATGTTGTTAACGTTACCCTTGTGCCAATCCTAGCCTTACCTTTGAGTCACTCAGTAGTAGTGCACCCCCTATATTTAAATCCTAGGTTCACCTCTGAGTAGAGAAATTGTTTTCAATAAGCCTTAAGTTTAAGTCAAACATAATAAAAGAAATATGGAAAAACAAAACACAGTTATGAGGCAATTATTATAGAGAACAGAACAATAGCAATAACACATAATATTGTAATTTTTATTTTTAATATATGCTCGATAAAAAATATATATAGAAATGTTTGTACCGAAAAAAAATTGGATGATTTATATCAAGATATATATTATATAAATAAAATAATAAAATCCAACACAAGACAATTCTAGACACCCACTCTATTCGACCGAACATAAAATAAAATAAAACAGAACAACAGACTTATACTTTTAGACACTCTTCTACTAAACAAACATATAGAAATAAAACCTCAAAAAAGAACTTTAGACAAAGAAGATGCGCATAATTTTTGTTCGAATTAAAGTCTCAAGGTCAAGTCCACGTCATTTTGTTCGTCAGCAATGTTAGCTAATTCATCAACATTTGTCGGAACAGGAACATTCAATCGATTGGCCAATGATCTTGTACAATCAATAGCAGAGTCATTTGAATTTGGACCTCCAACTCTGTTTCTGCTTGCCATTTGTTGCCAATTGATTGGTGGTGCTCTGTCACTGATTCTTGTCGGGCTGTTCCGATTCGAAGACAAGATAACAATGTTATTATTTCCTCGCGAAGTCGCATGATGTTGGGCTGCAGCAGGTTGAGGTGATGACATATTTCCTGTAAAAAAATTACCTGATCCATATAAAGGACAACGTTGGATAACGTTTTGTGGTGCCGCATGTTGAACTGACGATAGCAAAAGAGATCCAGATGAATACAAAGGAGGACGCAGGTTAACATTCTGTGGACTCACACGTTGTGGGGTCGTAGATTGAGCCGACAACATATTTTCCCGCAAAAGAGTAGCTGATGGATATCCGGAGGAATGCCGGATAACATTTTGTGAGCTCGTATGTTGTGGGGCTGCGAGTTGAGATCCTAGCGGATTTTCTGGGGACAAAATATTGGACGCATATGCATGGGAACATAGAATGGTATTTCGCTCAGACGTTAACAGATGAGTAGTTCGTATATGATTCATGAATTGCAGATGAGTACGGAACGCTCCATAGCATAAAGGACATCGAAGTAATACACGACAAGATGATAAAAATGAAGGAGGAGGAACATTTGCATTACTCATACTTTGAAGTATGAGTACCAAAACTTTTTCAAAGAAAAAAAAAGGTGTACTATGATTTTGTAAAATGTGAAGAGAATTTATAGGCTACTCATGGTTCCTTTATGTTTATTCCATTTTTGCAATGAGTGACAACTTTACTATCAAAATTTATTATATAATAAATGCTTTTTCCTTATTTATTATTTATATTTAACTCATTAATTGAAACACACTTCAGAAAGGGAAAAAGAATTAACTCTAAGTAGACAATTTTAAAAGAAGAAATTTTTTTTTCTCTAATAATTAATTAAACTTTGACTTACAAAAACTAGATTGTTGTAATTCAATATACAGAATGAATCATACTGTCAACTTACTATTATATCAAGAGAATTAAATTTTTCTTATTATAAATTTTAAACATGCTTTAATTTTTTATTATTTTACTTATAAGTGATAATTTCATAGTCAATTATGATTTAAACTGGAAATAATGTTAATGTCTCAATCATTTATGGTTGATTTGAATAATTTTAAAATAGAAAAAATTATTTATAGTAGTATCATATAATAATTATTTGAAATATTTTTTTGTCCATACAAATACATGCTTTAGATTGAGGCAATAATATAAGAAAGCAAGTTAATGGTCAACAATTATATTAGAGTTGACTCATAAAAAAAGAAGAAAAATTAATGTTGATTCACATAAATATAAAACACTATTTTCTTCTTATTTAGAATTTTTTTTAATGAGAAATGCATTTTTTTTTATAATTATAAATCTTTGAATATTGGTGTTTTTTGGGGAATATAATTATTTATGTGAAAACATTGAGAATGAATGAGAAAAAGGTAAATCCTCCAAAACCCAAAATCTTTCAATTAATATGAAAAAGTGGTAAATTGCAAAACTGGTGCATTAATAATATTTTCTAAAATTACAAATTCATTATCCCGATAAAAACTCACTCGTAAAATTATACTATTAAAATTCAATTATTTTTACCTAAACTTTATATATGTAGGCACCATTTTACCTAAACTTCCCCCACAATTCATTCACCATTTTTATCTAGCTTTCTAACATATCTAAAATTATTACGAAGTAGATAAACAAGTTGAATCTTAGTGTCAAAATAAAATATCCCATGTTACGATATGAAGCTTAATAAAACAAGGAGAACTTTCACATACAGCCACTAAAAATAACTTAATTACTCTCCATAGTTATAGTTTGATAATTACAATTCGTAGTTACATGTTATAGGGAGGAGAGAAACGAGCGAGACTGGGAGAGAGAGGAGAGAGGCGAGAGAGAATAAAAAGTGGGAAAGAGGTAAATTGTACATGTACATTGGTGAGACAATTGCATATTATACATATATATTTCTATACATGGCAAGCGAGATTTTGAGAAACAGAGGAGAGAGGCGAGCGAGAGAAAACAGAGAGTAGGAGAGAGAATTATATATGTATATTGGTTAAATAATTGTATATTATACATATTCATTTGTATAAAAAGCAAGCGAGATTGATAGAGAGAGGACAAAGGCGAGCAAGATTGGGAGAGGAATGAGAGAGACAAATTATATATGTATATTGATTAGATAATCGTATATTACACATATACAAATGTGATTAATTATACAAACTCGAAGTCGGCCCACACAATTAATGTATAATGTTAGTCGTAAGTGGTACTTACAGCCAACTATAGTTATAATGGTATAAATTTACTTAACCGCGTAATTTTTTTCGTGTCGAGTATAATGGAGAAGAGTACAGTAACCGAAGCAAAGGAAACAACACGTAATAAGACAACACACGTTCATAGTAACAAGTTAATATAGGAAGAAAAATTAGAGGGTACATAACATAAAAGTATATGATAACAATTCTGGGCACAAGAACCACACAACTAAGAGGAAGTACTGAGGTAGCCCCTTAAGTAATCGGAGCTACACTGCATAACCATGAGCTATTTACTTTCGCCATTAACATCCTCCCCGTTCGCAAGCATAGCAGCCATGCACATCAGGGGAGCAATGGCCAGATGTGAAATATTTTTTATTTTTCGAGAGAGATCCCGGTCTACAACATCACATTAGAGAGGTATTCTCAAATATACAAAACAGAAACACCCCTCTATCTCTTGAAAGTTTAGCAAGTTTGTTAAATTGCAAGAATCAGTGCATGCTTGTTGATAAGTCCTTGAAGATAGCTGCTCAACTTGCTGTTCAACTATAAGGAAAAGACGGTAACGATAAGTTCATATTAGCTGAGGAGTAGTATCAAGAATAAGAAAATAGTACTTGAATATCATGATATCAGCGGTTAAAAGTTTTGGTACCTTGGGGGTAGATATTAGACATTATATAGCCTCATTTCCTTCTTCCGGTGCCAATAGTTAGTAACTCAAAGCTCCTAAGAGCATCATCCCTACCCCCTCTAGTTGCAGTAGCGCGGGTAAAAGATGAAGACTTGGATTCAAATCCAGGTTGTACTCTTTGGGTAGTGGAAATGCGGCCGCTGCTTGAACCTAAGCGACCAGAGCGATTGTCAGTGGGTTCGCCAGATGAGCTGGGCCGGCTGCTTCCCATTACAGCCCTCCTCGAGGTGCTACCAGTCCGAGATACACGGCCTCTTTCAGCATCAGCTTGCTGAAATGTTAACAAGTGCATCAGATAATAACCTATAATGAGCAGTTCAGACACCAAGAAAGCTCCAGGTAGGAACAAACTGATGACTGTAAATTGAGAGGATGCCAAAATATTATACGGAATCCCAGGCAGAAAAAAGATATCACATTCGCTGCTTACCACATCCTTAGATGATGGTACATCGTCAGATGATCTGTGATGTCTCAAATGGTCCCCTTGCAAACCAGTTCCAGACACGTTCCTTCTAGAAAACGCCTCCACAGCACCAGAAAACCTATCTTTGATTTCCTGCCTCACTGTACAAGAGATCAGACAAATCTTAAAATTAGCCTACAAATCTGTAACATGATGACATACATTCAACCAACAAAAAAAACACGGGAGGAAAAAGAAACAAAACAAAATGCCCCAGCCACCTATAGTTCGTATTGGGTTTTATTTTTCAGAGGGGATGATTTGACACACTTCTTATCATTAATTGGACAGCACCCATTTCCGCATATTTAAGAAATCCTCAAGGATAGCTGCAACTTCTAGTCACATACTTGAGCATTGTACATCTCTCCCACTGCCATTGAATGGGTCACACATGCAAACTTACATTTATGTGTTTCAAGTGGGTCTTCTGAAACTACATATAATAAGAGATTTGAAGTGCTATTCTGCTTGCAATAATTGGCTATTTTGTCAAAAGCATGGATTAGATTGACGACAAAGGTCAAGCACCATGAGCCCGCCCAAACATAAATAATCATACGAGGAATGTAAGCTACTATTTCTTATTCTTTGAAGATGCAGTTTCTTGTAACAGTACCAGGGATCTTTTCTGGTCTTTCAATGGATGGTCCCGGATTCACAGGTAATCTTGCAATAGGTTGCTGAAAATACACAAAATGTAAGATTAGGGCATCTTCTAGAATGCAAAAATAAAACAGTAGATAATTTTTAGCAAGAGTAGATTAAAGACAGACTCGTGCTCTTGAACTGGAGCCGATCTGGGGATACTTCAAGATAGTCCAATCAAACACATAGTCAAATTGATAACCTGCAATGCATGCAAAAAGAATTTTGTCGTATAAGACTACAGAAATATACTTGTAGTGCGAAAGAGATTATATAAAGGAGGAAACAGAATATTGAAACTATCATGAAACAGAAACTTACCCTCTCTAATGAAAAGGTCACGGAATAGCCTCTTTAGGTATGAGTAATCTGGCTTGTCATCAAACCGTAATGATCGGCAATAATGAAAATATGATATGAATTCTGAAGGATAGGATTTGCAAAGCACCTGTTTAACAGAGAACAGTGGAATATGTCATTATGCAGTTTGATGAGAGAGCATAGTTTAGGACAGATATATTCACAAGACCCGGTACTTCTCTGTAGGACAGATAATATTTGGCATGTATAAATAATGTACATAAAGTCACTACCTCTATAGGTGTAAGCATCTTCTTCTCACTAATCCTGTCATATTTCTGCTTTTTGGTGCCAGCTTTCAGACCTTGCCATGGCAGACTAAAAAACACAAGCAAATATGCTAATTGTAAGAAACAAGTAATGCACATGGAAATAGAGAAACAGGCACCAAACATAAACTATATCTGTAACTGCCGAACCTTCCTCTCAAAAAATACATAAGCACATAACCAAGAGACTCCAGATCGTCTCTTCTGCTTTGTTCTGCATACAAGGAAGAGAGGTGATTATGTAAAGTTTAACGTACTACTAGGTACTTGGTGTAATATCATCCTCACTTACCAACTCCAAGATGGGTGTTAACGCTAGCATAACGAGCTGTTCCTGTGAGGTTTTTGTTTTCCCTGTCAAAGGAAGCAAACGATTCATTCAGCAATCCATATTACGCTCCAATCATCCACTCAACACTATTAAAATAAGGTCAGGGAAAGAAAAGCTTGATAAGACGCAGAACCTCCAAATTTGTTTCTTAATCTCAATATCCACTATTGAGAAGCTTGGAAGCGTACATTGAGACAGAAAGGAACAGAAAAAAAAAATAAGAGAAGCATCCTAGCAGGAATGGAGGGAAAAATCATTCCATCCGGCTTTGTACTTTCTCAATACCATAGTACACAATGTGCATTCAAAATCTACAAAAGTCTAATCATTCAAGATGGTTTTCCATATCCACTAGAGCTGCTTTAATTTCTTTGATTCAGCTTATGCAAAAGAGAGGGCAAATTTTTTTGAAAAAACAGGGAAGGGCATAACTAGGTTCTAGCAAAAGTTTAAATTCTCATTACTCCAAAAGGTCAAAAAATGAAGCCGCCAAAGAAACAATTGGAAGAACATTCAACCTTCAGCTTCTCAAGCAATCATCATTACCAACACATTGTGGTGAATTGACCAATTATCAAATCACCTAAGCAAGTAATATTCCATTGTAATTTCTAGAAATGGAAGACCATATGAGATCTTTGAGAAGCATAAAAGGTTGATACCTGTATGGTATATGCTTGTGTGTCTGAAGATCTCTGTATTTCTTGGCAAGACCATAGTCAATGATGTATACCTGTTATAACAAAATAAAACACCCAAATCTTAGAGATGCATAGTTTCAATCAGATCCATTAACTCGTTCTATACATAGACTTACAAACAGGAACCTACTGATCAAGTTTTACAAAATGCTAATGTTCAGTAGCATCATGCAAGATCATATGACAGGTTCTCTTATACTAAGTCATTTTGTTTACAAAAAGAAATTCAGAGGAAACTTCATCCTCGTTTCCGGGTAGGAAATATTTCTTCCATTTGCAAGTGCTTATTACCAGAATTTGTTGGCAATAAGATCTTCTACCTCCCCAGATCAAGCATAAGCATTATGCTGGAAAACATAAACTAAAGAAAGGGGGAAATCTCTCAACAGATTACATGTGTCCAAGAATATGCATCTGGCACAATGCTCTGGATTTTGCGCATAGTTCCAGAAAACTAGACCATTCCCCGGGTTATCTGGCTATTTCCCTCCTACACAAGAATGTACTGATTCATGTCACATGGATTGACTTCATGGAACTCTAAAACAAGGAAATGGGAGAGACAAAGAGAGAGGAAATGCGACTTCTTGACTTCTGGAACTAACAAAAAGAATGTTACCCTTCCATCACAAATTGAAGTTCCTTGTTCGAGCTCAACAACCACACGCTACAATATGTCCCAATACAAAAATGCTGGAGGAGCACCCGTACAGTAGACCCAAAACCCTAGTAGATAACCAATTTGTCTAATTCCTCAGTGATTTAATTCCCAAGCAAGTAGGTGGAGAACTTTCCGAAAATATCAAGTGCAAATGTATAGGGCATTTACATCTACACTTCGAGAACATATGATGAAGTACACACCTGATTTGCTTTACGCCCTAAACCCATTAAGAAGTTGTCGGGCTTAATATCACGGTGAAGAAATCCTCTTGAGTGCATATATTCAACCCTATTAATCTGCATCAGAGAACAAGTATCAGGCAACCAGCTACAATAATTATGCATTAACAGTAAATAATTTTGGATATTTACCAGTTGATCTGCCAGCATTAAAGCTGTCTTTAAAGTGAACCTCCAATTGCAATATTTAAACAAGTCTTCCCAACTTGGTCCAAAAAGGTCGATAACCATGGCATTGTATTCACCTTCGACGCCCAACCACTTGATGTGTTGGATTCCCGCTTTACATAAGAAATTTATTATTTAAAAAAAAACACAAATCAGTGCACCTCGAGAATATAACAGTCATTGAAATTCATAGGTAGAAACTATCACTTACTTCCTCCTTGTAGAAGCATATACAGCTTTGATTCATAATGAAGCTGAGGGTGCTTGGTTTTAGTTGATTCCTGCAAACCAAAAAATTAGATTCTGGAAACAGCAAAGCAAATGCATCAACAAAAAAAAACTACAGTATTAAGCATAGCACTGGAACAGACACCTGCATGGAAAGCACAAGGAAATCTCATTCATGATGTTCTAAAACACTTAACAGATGGTCACAGTATCTGAGAAACAACTACATATGAAGTCCTTGATATATCACAATAAGGTCCCTACCAAACAAATTCACTGATCAACATAAGCAAAACTATTCAAGACTATTCAGAAGTAGAAGCTATATCCAGCAAATGCACACTAACAAACTAGCACCAATAAAAGGGCCAAATAAACAATGTCACTAGCATATTCAGCCAAAATAGCAAAGTTCGTCTATCATATTTAAGTTTTATATCATGAAAGCTTATAATACAAGAATGATCTTCTCATCCTCTAGTGAAAGATGTGGTCTTTTTCAACCTTTTATTGTTGTTAACTTTATTTAGCTAAGCCTCAATTTCCAGCTTCAGTGAAATCAACATTCCAATTTTCACCCAATTCCAGTAAACAGTTCAATCTTTAACACAACTGACACCATGTTCTAATCAACACACTCACCAGCTTCACAGCAACTTCTTCTCCAGTTTGCACATTTACCCCTGATACAAAAGCAAAAAACTCAAGGTCAACTCAAACCCCATACCACAAAACTTGAGCTACAATTGAAACTAACAACAATCAACTAAAAACACATTGATATTACCTAAATATAGTTCCCCAAAAGATCCACTACCGATCTTTCGTCCCAGTTTAAACTTCCCACCAACCACATGATCCATAGTTAAAGATTCAACAAACCCAATCAAACCAAACAAATATCAATTATCAACCACTACTCCCACAAATAGTCAGGAAATTAAAATCTGGAAATTACCCCAGATCCAGCAAAATCTACCTTACCCCAAAGAACAAAAATACAAAAAAAATCACTTCTTTGAGGCACCCCAGATGAAAAATCTTTAAAAACCCTAAAGCCTAATATCAGTTCTTAATATATGGAAAACACTTAAAAACAAGTAACTTTTTTTTTCCTAAACAACAGTGTCCCCCTTTTTCTCTAAAGAAATAAAAGAATAATCCAATGAATGACACAAAAATTACAACTTGATGAGAAATGAAAAAGCTTAAAAGGGGTTTTGGATTCTTGAAAAAAAAATTCAAAAAAAAAAGAAGAAGTAAATGACAGAAGAAATGGAAATGGAAAAATACAGTAAGCTACAAAATAAAATGGGGATTTTGGGGGTAGGGGAGAAGAGAGAATCTAACTGAAAACGAAATCTGCGGAAAATTTATGGGAATTTTTTTTTTCTGTGTAAGAGAAGAGAAGAAGAAGAAGATGAAAAAGAAGAAAAATGGAGAAAATGGGATTATACAAGAAAAATATTAAGCTTTTTCTTTTTCCTTTTATTTTCTTTTCTTATAATATTATTATCATTTTTATTTATTTATTGGTGGGGGTGGGATAAATTCTTTTTTTTTCTAAAAAAAAAAAATGTTAGATGCTGGGAGAATAATTTTTGAAAAAAATAAAAAAGAAGGAAGAAGAATATATATGTGATTATTCTTTAGGAAAGAAGATTATAATGATTTTTAAAATTTCTAATTAAGAGGATTAATAATAGTCTTTTTTTATGTATTAATTATGATTAACTTAAGTAGTTGGTATTATGATGTTTTTGAATTTCAAATTTGTCTGCTACAATTTTCTTAGATAATAAGCATAGATTGTTTTTTTTTCTTGGGAAAAAAATAGTGTTCCATTTTTTATTAAATAAAAATAAATTTAAGTTTTGACTTTTTCAAATTTATGTAAATGATTTTTTAGAAGTAGCAAGGTAATTTTTGAATTTTAAGTTTTAAAGAAGGAAACTTTTAAATTTGTTAAATTTTTTTCATCCCTTAAGGTGGTTCAAAATCAAAAAGAAAACTGCGGTGAAAAGTAATGTCCAACCGGATATTTGACATTTTTTATAATAACTTTTCAAATTATGTATTATTGTTCACATTTCACTCAAATTCAATCAGTTACGAGAAAGGATTGGTATCGGGCGATGAAATGATAAATATTTTTTTATTTTTAATCGAAAATTTAAATTTAATTTTTGCGAAATATGAAACTGTAATGGTTAGGGAGTGTTTATCTCAATAAGAAACTTTTCGATATAAATTAAAATTTCGTGAAACTTTAACATGAATATCAAATTTTAGATGAGATAACAAAATAAATAACATGTAACATGGAGATGATATGATCATGAATTTAATTAGTTTTCTTGAGTGATCCTGTTTTATTTTGTTGTATTATCTTTCAAAAGTTTTTTTAGACTCTCGAATAATTTAATTTTCAAAAACTTCTATGATCGTTCCAAAAATAAACCTAATCCTAATATTGACTCATCTAAAAACACGGACTATGATGATAAATTATACTATCATTTTCGTGAGGGTTTTCGAAACAAAATCCCTTATGAATAGTTCTACTATCTTATGATCGGCCTCTTCGTTAATCCAATCATGTTTAACACCTCTGACTCGCTCGATATTTTTATCTTTGGTGGTTCTTTATATGCATTAATACTAAAGACGTTTATCCAAAATAGGGAGAAACGTGTTGATGGTAAATTTTTTTCATTCAACATGGAAAAAAAATGCTTTTGGAGTCTTGAAATATAAACAAAAATTTAATAGAATACTATTAAAATTTATAATATGTTATATGTGAATAGTTTCATGATATCATCACTAATATTACTTGTATCCACATAATAATATGATATTTTAGAGAATGTTTGTTCTTCCTCAATACGAAGGATGAATTTCATAGAGTGACACAAAACTTTGATGGTAGAAATGAAAATTAGAATGAATCTCATGCCTAGTCAACTAATAACAAAGTTAATTTTGCTTCATAATTATCTGTTTATTTCATAATTATCTACGTTTTGGAGTCATAATCTTACTAAAAAACAATTACACATTGATGATAAAAATACATCAATCACTGAATTCTTGAGAAACTATTGTAACTTTTCATGTTTTATTTGAATTCTCCCATTGAAAGAATCTTAGCGCGTCAAAATTCTTCTCATATATCATAATTTTGATTAATTTTTTTTAACGGTTATTGCACGATATTAATATGTTGTTTTTTATGGTCAATTTTAAATTATTACAAAATTCAACTTGGTTTCATTGAACAAGTGCATCATGTTTATATTATTTTAATTTAATTAATAATAATAATAATAATACCATATCCAATTCAACAATATAATGATTTGTCAAAGCTAAATGAGAGGTCAAAATTGAAATGTTCACCACTAATAAGATATCAACAATATTTTAGTTATACAAAAATGAAGGATCCCTTATGGAAGTCTAGCAACAATGATAAAACCTCAAGTGTGGTGTTTGATAATAATAACAAAAAAATTGTCACCGAAAATATTTTTGTATAGAAATTCTTTGGAAGCTAATTATATCGTATCTCGAAAGTTTTTTGGATTATAAAAATTTTTAACTTTTCATTACTCTCGAGTACATTTCTTGATTGTTTAATACATTACAAATAATACATTACTTAATGAGAGAGATATATCTGAAAAAGGACAGAAAAGCATTCGACAGAGAAATTTTGTAACTTTCTTAAATGGTAATTTTTTTGAAAAAGAGATTATAATATCGTAAGTTATGTATTTATATTAAAAAAATATTTTTTGTTAAGCAAGCAAAAATGTCATTTTCTAAGAACAATATAAGGATAGCATATGGGGGTGGGGTAGTGTGGGGTTTGGGGACTACAAAGGGTGAGGGAGGAGATAAAGACAATTAACATGCAATGCCACTTACGAAGCTTGTTTCAGTTTGTTCTATTATCTTCGTTAAATTCACATAATTTTCAAGAGATTATCAATCTCGAGACACATTCTTTCAATCAAACCAAAAGAAGTTCATAAATACAATATTACAAGAGATTATCAATCTCGAGACACATTTTTCCAAACAAACCAAAAGAGGTTCATAAATATAATAACATTTTCACTGAAATCTCGCGAACGCAAAAATTCACCAATTCATACTTTTAAAAAAAAAGGGAAAGATAAGAAGTAAAACCATATTATATAAATTTTTATTTTAAGTTGTGACAGCAGAAGTGCATATGAATCAGTACATCCTTTTTGTCTCAATAGGCATGCTCTGACAGACAATAAGATCATTTTGTAAGATAATACTTAAGAAAGAACAAAAAACATAGTCTGCAAAAAAGATCACCATAACCAAAATCACAGCATATTTTGTCTATTTGTGCATTTGCAATGTTACTTTCACATGCCAAGAGACAGAAAACAAACAGTGACTTATGACCTCAAAAATACATTGTCACTTCAGACACAATTTGTATAAAGCTAACTTCTACTACTACTGTTTTATTATGTTGTCTTTTTTTGGTCCCATGCTTTTTTTTTGTCCTATTCTTGATGTGAAATAGGATGTCCCCTTAATGCCAACTCGTTGGGACCAAACTATTGACGGCAGTGACATTTTTGGACCAAACTATTCACTAACGACATTTTTGTTCAATTTCGTATCGTTTAAGAGCATTCTTGACCTTATTAGAATGATGAAGCTTTCTATATTCTTCACTGTTCCCACTTGGCTCTACCATATCTTCTGCAAATTTCACTTTCTTCTTCTCCTTCTTCTGATCTAAAAAAGGAACACAAAAAAACCATCAACAAACATATCGAAGATAATTTATACATGCTGACAGTATAAAAAAAAATCACCATCAATAAACTTTAGCCTGCTATGACGCGTTTCTTGTTCAATATGGACATTTTCACTTATTCCAGGAATTTTGTTCCGAAAAAGCTATTTGGCCATAGAATTCACATCCCCCCTCCCTCCAAATCAGTCACAAAAGTTCAAAATCAACTCCAATATGTATTCATATCTAAACACACTTGAGGCTACTTAAAAACAAATACTGTTTTAGAAGAAATAAAAATCCCAAATTTTATGTCGAAACGTCCAGTAAAGTGGTATTGTGCTAACATCATGATAATAATAGAAATTTAAACTGCTACTTCTGAAGCCAAAGTTTCTTGAAACAATACCAGGGATCTTTTCTGGCGATCTTGCAATTTGCTGAAAAACAAATAAAATGTAAGATTAGGGCATCTTTTACAGTGCAGAAATCAAAATAGTAGATGATTTTTAGTGAGAGCAGATTAAGTACAGACTTGTGCTCTTGAACTGGAGCTAACCTTAGAATAATATTGCAAAACAGTCCAATCAAACACATAGTCAAATTGAAAACCTGCAATGAGTACAAAAATAATTTTGTTGTATAAGACTAGAAATATAACTTCTTGTGCCAAAGAGATAATATAAAGGAGGAAAGAGGTCATGAAACAATAATTATACCCTCACTAATGAAAAGGTGACGGAATAGCCTCTTCAGGTATGAGTAATCTGGCTCGTCCTCAAACGGTAATGATCGGCAATAATGACAATATGATATGAATTCTGAGGGATAGGATTCGCAAAGCACCTGTTTAACAGAGACCAGCAGAATAGGTCGTTATGCAGTTTGATGAGAGACGGTATAATTTAGGACAGATATACTTGCGAGACACTCGGTGAGGAGGTGCGCTGATGCCCCGGTGAGGAGGTGCGAGAGGCTGATTGTAAGGGGTAGAGGTAGGCTGAAAAAGTATTTGGGGGAGGTGATTAGACAGGACATGACTCTAGGAAGCCGTGGAGGTCGCTTAAGCCTGTTAGTGCCTGTCTTAGTACTAGTTGTACCTGTGTAGTTCTTGTCGTATGTTGTTTACAATGTTTCGATTATCACACTATTTTATTGTTGTTATTGTTTCTATCTTGTAGACTTTACACTACTTTCTATTTTTTAATGACAAGGGAAGGGTAAAACCCTGCTCCTATGCAATAGCTCGCAAACCATACAAGAAAGCTACCCGCACTAGGCAAGCCCGGTGTGACTCGACCCAAAAGGCAACCCCTCGCTTTCGCTGACAAGGGGTTTCAGCTTGGGACTTCCAAGGGTAGGATTTATACTACTTCCTTAATAATTGTTATGCTCTCATCATTGTATTTCTTCTTCTTTTACTTCGGTTTGTTGCACTTGAGCTGAGGGTCTTCCGGAAACAACCTCTCTACCTCCACGAGGTAATGGAAAGGTCTGGATACCGTCTACCCTCCGCAGACCCCAATTATTGGGATTTAACTAGGTATGTTTTTGTTGTTGAAATGTACATAAAGACACTATCTCTATAGATGTAAGCATCTTCTTCTCACTAATCTTGTCGTATTTCTGCTTTTTGCTGTCAGCTTTCAGACCTTGCCATGGCAGACTAGAAAAGACAATCAAATATGCTAATTGTAAGAAACAAGTAATGTGGAAATAACAATACAGGCACCAAATATAAACATTATATGTAATTTCCAAACCTTCCTCTCAAAAAATACATAAGCACATAACCAAGACACTCCAGATCGTCTCTTCTGCTTTGTTCTGCATACAAGGAAGAGAAGTAATATGTAAAGTTTAAAATATATTAGGTGCTTCAGGTAATATCATCCTCACTTACCAAATCCAAGATGGGTGCTAACACTAGAATAACGAGCTGTTCCTGTGGGCCTTTTGTTTTCCCTGTCAAAGGAAGCAAAATAAGTCGTTCAATAATCCATATTACACTCCAACCATCCACTCTAAACTCTATTAAAAATAAGGTCAAGGAAAGAAAAGCTTAAAAAGAAAGCAGAACCTCCAAATTTCTTTCTTGATTTCAATATCTACTATTGAGAAGCTTGAAATAATATATAGAAGAGACAGAAAGGAAAAGAACAAAATAAGAGAAGCATCTTAGCAGGAATGGAGTACCTCTTCATCCACCTTTTTATTTTCTCAATAACATAGTACACCATGTGCATTCAAAATCTACACAGATCTAATCAAACAAGATGGTTTTCTGTATCAATAAGGGCAGCTTTAATTTCTTTGGTTAAGCTTATGCAAAAGAGATCTTTGAAACAAATATTAACAACAAGGGAAGGACATAACTAGGTTCGAGCAAAAGTTTAACTCCTCATTAACCCAAAAGGTCAAAAAACGAAGCCGCCAAAGAAACAATTGGAAAAAGATTCAACCTTCAGCTTCTCAAGCAATCGTCGTTACTAACACATTGTACTGAATTGACCAATTATTAAATCACCTTAGCAAGTAATATTCCACTTTAATTTCTAGAAATGGAAGACATATGAGATCTTTAAGGAACAGAAGAAGTTGATACCTGAATGGTATATGCTCATGTGTCTCATGATCTCTGTATTTGTTGGCAAGAGCATAGTCAATCATGTATACCTGCTTTAACAAAATAGAACGCTCAAAACTGACTTAGAGATGCATAGGTTATGTCATGGGAATTATTTTTCATCAGATTCATAAACTCGTTCTAATGTAGATTTACAAAGGTACTACAGAGACAGGAAGCTGCTGATCAAGTAATTACAAAATGTTCATGTTTAGTAGCATACTACAAGATAGGATGACAGGTTCTCTGGCTAGGTTAGTTTGTTTACAAATTCAAGATTGGAGGAACTTTATCCTCCTCTCCAGTAGGAAAAATTTCTTCCACTTGCAAGCTATGTCGCTCGGACTTTTCAAGAATGCCGACTGGTGCATATCAGATCCTTCAAAAGTAGCGCATTTTGAAGGATCCGACCCGGGTGCGGCACCATTTTCGGAGAGTCCGAGCAACATAGCTTGCAAGTGCCTAATTACCAGAATTTTGTTCGCAATTACTGGGTATATTGTTGTTGTTTGTTGGCATCCCAAGCTCAAACATAAGCATTATGCTGGAAAACATAAACTAAAGAAAGAGGCGAATCTTTCAACATATTAAATGTGTCCAAGAATTTTTACAAATTTTTCAATAGTACCAGTTCTTAAAAGAAGAAATTTCCAAGAATATGCTATTGCACAATGCACAGAGTTTTGAGCTCTGTTCCAGGAAACTGAAAGAAATGCACACCTGGTTAGTTAGCTAGAGCCTTCTTGGACAAGAATGCAAAGGTTCATATCACAAGGATCAACTTCATTGAGCTCTAAGAGAAGAGAATGGCAGAGAGGAACACGAGAGAAAAAGATAAGAAGTACATGTTCTTGAGTGAAATTAGAGAATATCCAAAAAAAGAATGTAACCCTTCCATCTCAAATTAAAGTTCAAGCTTAACAAGCAGGCTACAATATTTCCAGCTCCACAAATGCTGGAGTAGCACTTGTAACCCTAAACCCTAATAGATAACCAACTTGTCTAGTTCGTCGGTGATTTAGTTCCTAAACAAGTAGGTGGAGAGCTTTCCAGAATATCTAGGGAAAATAATAGGAGCACATAACCTTGTTATCAACCATAGACATACATGTACACTTAGAGAACATATGATGAAGTGCACACCTGATTTGCTTTACGCCCTATACCCATTAAGAAGTTTTCGGGCTTAATGTCACGGTGAAGAAATCCTCTTGAGTGCATTTATTCAACCCTATTAATCTGCATCAGAGAATAAGTATCAGGCAACCAGCTGCAATTATTATGCTTTGATCAGCATATAATTTTGGCTATTTACCAATTGATCTGCCAGCATTAAAACTGTCTTTAAAGTGAACCTCCTATTGCAATAGTTAAACAAGTCTTCCAAACTTGGCCCAAGAAGGTCAATAACCATGGCATTGTATTCACCTTCAACGCCAAACCACCTGACGTTTGGAATCCCAGCTTGAAATATGAAAATGATAAAAAAAAAAAATTTAAAAAAACACTTTAGCAAGAAAATATAAGAGTCATCGAAATTCATGGGTAGAAGCTATCACTTACTTCCTCCTTGTAGAAGCCTATACAACTTTGATTCATAATGAAGGTGAGGGTGTTCTGTTTTAGTTGATTCCTGCAAACCAAAAATTTAGATTTTGGGAACAGCAAAGCTAATGTACCAAAGAAGAAACCATAATATTAAACATAGCACTTGAAACACACCCCGGACAACTGGTGAGAAGCAAACCACAAATGAAGTCCATAAATATATCACAATACGGTCCCCTACCAAACAAATATGCTGATCTTGAATAATTAAGCAAAATTATTCAAGACTCTTCAGAAATAGAAGCTATATCCAGCAAATGCACACCAACAAACTAGAACCGAGAAAAGGGCCAAATAAATAATGTCATTTGAACATTCAGCCAAAATAGCAATGGTCATCTATCATATTTTAATTTTTATATCATGAAAACTTATGATTCAAGAATAATCCTCTCATCTTCCAGTGAAATGGTCATTCTTCTCAACTTTATCAGGTTGCTAAGTTTACTTAGAGAAAGGCTCAATCTTAAGACAATTGACAGCAAATTGTGGAGTGAATTTTCAGCTTCCGAAAAAACAACTTTTAAAATTTTATTCAATTCCAGTGAAAGGCTAAATCCTAACACAATTGACACCATGTTTATGTGGTGAACTTCCAGCTTCAGCGTTCAGCTAATCAACATACTCACCAGCTTCACAGCAACTTCTTCTTCAGTTTGCACATTTACCCCTGATACGAAAAACAAAACTCAAGGTTAACTCAAACCCCATAACAGAAAAGTTGAGCTACAATTGAAATTAACAACAATCAAGAAATACGCATGGAGATTACCCAGATAATCCGCTAAATATCCTTTACCAATCTTCAGACCCAGTTTATACGTGCCACCAACCACATGATCCATGGCCAAAGATTGAATGAATGATAACAACACCAAACGAGAATGAGAGTTGGAAAATCTCAAGCCTAGTCAGCAAATAACAAAGTTAATTTCACCTCACAATTCTCTGTGTTACGGGGCCATGGCCTTACGAAAGGCCGAGCAAGAGTAAGAAACTACTATCAATACAGGTGGCTTGAATTCATGAGAAATTACTTCAGTTAGACAGGGAAATTGCACTGATTTTTCATGTATAGCTTGAAGTCTCCAATGAAGGGAGTCTAAGCACACCACAATTCCTCTCTTAGTATATAATTTTGAATGTTTCATAATTGCACAATATCAATATGTTCTTTTTTGGATCAATTTGAAATAAAATATCACAAAATTAAACTTGGTTTTATTGAACACGTGCATCATGCTTATATTATTTTAATATACCATAGTCAACTCATCAATATAATGAGTTTACTTTTTGTTCAGTCTTACCCAGATAACATGAATTTGTCAAAGCTAGTTGAGAGGTCAAAATTGAAATGTTCTCCACTAAGAAGATATCAAGAACTTCTTTTTCTTTCTTTTATTTTTCTTGAAGAAGAATTCTGCAAATCAAGTAATCATTTTGTCATTTTCTTTTTAAAAACCTATTGCCTTAGCCAACATGCGCACCTCGACGAATTCCATGGAATACCTATCGCCTCCCAACAACAGGGAGGATAAGGTAAATCGGTCCACCAGGGATATGGTAGATCAGAAGACATATATAGATAACGCTTGATCTTTATAAAAGCTTAATTTCTACTGCCTCCGTGAAGCGTCCTGACAATTAGTTGAACTAGAAAGATGAGACAAGAACTTCGCATGTGGCGAGTGTACCAGGAAGTGCATGTTATCTTCAGCGGGAAATAGTTCCGGTTCTTCGCTGCTTGACTTGATATCTCGCAAGACGGATGTATAAGAACAACGAATCCTTGCCAGAGTTGATAAGAGCGCCTGTATTTTTCATCAACAATGCATTTACACGAATGTTATGAAGAAGTCGTGAAAAAAAAGAGAAACCACCATTGAAGGGTTTCATAATTCCAATATTTGCGCCTGGAGAATTGTCTAACAAAACTAAAGCATCTCTACAAAGGTAGCTTCTAAATGATAAAGATAGCATTAAATTGACATCACAGCTTCTCTTTTTCAGGTTGTACAAAAAATCTAAAGTCAGAAAAAATTATAGGTTACAGGAAAAATTTAAAGTTAAAAGTCAAGTTCCAAGTATCCTTCTCACTTGTATATGACCTTGCGGAATTCCAAAATTCCATCACCAGCGAAGGTACAACAGCCATAAGCTCAAAAATATTACCGCTTCAAGGTCTCTAACCTTTTGTAACACCAAGAGAAATTGAAAGTTCACATCAGGACATTTATCCAGTTTGCTAGCTTAATGGATTGATGATATACATGCCTCCAATACCATACAGTTGAACAGATTTTGGAAGACAGCGTAACTTTCATATCAAAGCACTGAGGAATGATCTCTAGATTTTCTCATAAAATGTGAAACACTAGAGACTGTCTGAACACCTATATAATCTACTATTTCCTAGAAACCTTCCCATATGTGTTCTCCCCTTTTATTGCTTATAATAAAGCCCTTTATGCTACATTGTGGATACATTTCCATAGTTTCCATCACCAGTAGTCTCCACATGAACAACTCCCATCTTTGAAAAGGTGAAATCGACTATTATCTCTAACAATTATATCTCTCCCCATAATTTTGGATATGAACTTTATAGCTGTGTGACAGTCTACACATACACGGAGATTTTTAATAATGCAAATGTTTGTCCCAGCAGGTGTACTAATAATGCCGAATGCTATTGCAAGCCGTTCACTATGAGTATACAGCAAATCACTCTTTTGCTCCTCATCAACATCATGTAGTGCCTCACTAATCTGAGGAACGTAACCTTCTTGTTTCAAGCGTTCATAAAGATCTCTTAGTACTACATGTATCTGATCATAATATGGGTGAGATGTGTCTCCTGAAACAAAAGCATGCACCTGGTTCCTAACTTCTATCCAGCTGCAAGCTGGTGGTTTTCTCATTCCTTTCTTCTTCATATTAGTTCTTAATTTTGATGCATCTTTCCATCTCCCAGCTGCTGAATACATATTTGACAAGAGCAGATAAGGTCCCATGTTCCCAGGATCAGCTGTAGTCATTTCTTTGGCAACTTTTTCAGCCAGTTCAACATTTTTGTGAACTCGGCAAGCTGATAGCAGCGTAGCCCAAATACTCCCGGTGGGCTTAATAGGCATGTCATTGATAAATTTATAAGCTTCCATCAATCTTCCAGCACGACCAAGAAGATCTGCAATAGAAGCATAGTGTTCGAGGTCAGGAGAAACACCATATCTGTTCATACTTGTAAAATATTTCCAACCTTCATCAACCAAACCAGCATGGCTGCAAGCAGTTAAAATAGCTAGATAAGCCACAGCATTGGGCTTTATCTTATCATGTTGCATATTTTCAAAAAGAATAGTGGCCTCACGGGCATGACCATTCAATGCATATCCCATGATTATAGTCGTCCATGAAACTGAATCGTGTATCTCCATCCTATCAAAAATCAATCTAGCAGTCATTATCTTCCCAGATTTGGCATACATGTCCACAAGTGAGCTAGCTATATACATGTTTTGATTAAACCCCACTCTTATTATGTATGCATGGAGCTGTTTCCCCAGATGTAGTGTTGTCAAATGAGCACAGGCAGGCAGTATAGCTGAGAAAGAAACTTCCACAGGCTTGACATTAGCTGCTAACATCTGCCTAAACAGTCCCAGCCCTTCAACAAAAGTACCATTTTGCACACATCCTGCTATAACTGAGTTCCATGAAACGTCATCCTTTTCTGATAATAAATTGAACACCCTATACGAATCCTCAACTCTGGTACAATTTGCGTACATATCAATTAAACTACTCCCAATAAACTCATCTTTGTCAAACCCGTGTCTAATTGCATAACCATGAATCTCTTTTCCCTTTAAGACATCTACATGCCTCGCAAAGACAGGAAGGACACTTGACAAAGTGAAACAGTCAGGCTTCAAATAGGCATTGCTCATCTCCCTTAACCTTTCCAGAGCTTCTTCATACAACCCACTTTGTACATTTCCACCAATCACAGTATTCCACGAAACAACATCTTTATCCGGCATCATTTGAAAAATCTTACTCACACTATCTAATCCTGTAGCATTTTTCACACTCCTTCCACCTAAAGACTCAAAATGACTTTTTTCACTCCTTATCAGAATTCCAATCTCAGAATCTTGAGCCAAACTGCTTCTACGACTATAAACGCGATCTGACAGGGGAATTTCATCAAACAGATGATAGTCATGCGACAAAACCTGCAATTTTGCATACATATTCATGAGTGCATTCCCAGTATAACGATCAGATTCCAAACCAAACCTGATAACACAACCATGAACAGACTCACCAACCCTCAATTCCTTCAAATGGGTACATGCTCTTACAACAGAAGGGAAAACATCCCTACCTGGCAACTTACCCCAACCCCTCATTTCAACAAAACAAGCTAAAGAATCACGAAAATAACCATTACAAGAGTAACACCTGACAACAGACTTCCAAGCTTTAGTGGGTACATAATGAAAGTTGTTAAAAACTTCTAAAGATTCTTTAAGAAGGTTAAGGTCAGAGTAAATTCCAAGAATGATAGTGGCAAGTGAAACAGACCTTGACCCTCTTGTTTTCACTATTTGGGCATGGAGTTGCTTAGCTTGTGACTTTGTTTTTATGGAAGATGGGTTCCTTAAAAGAGTTTTGACAAGATTTTCACTGGAAGATTCCATTTTTGGCTCAATGGGATCGTCAATTACTTCGTTGAAAAGCTCATCAGAACGATTATTTGAGAATGTGATGTTTTGTGTCAATGATGATTCTCATTCAACAGTCAAAATGGAGTCTTTGTTGAGATTTACAATCAGCTGTTTCTGTAACAAGAAGAACAGAGAAGGGGAAGGAGAGTTCTAATGGGAAAAATGAAGTGTACTTCAAATATTTGGGGTAACTTTGAAAATTTTCTTTCAAATTTATAAATGAGAGAAATCGAAAATACGAACTAGACGAGAATTATTAATTTCATTCTCGAATTATTAATAACCCTAAAATTATTCTTCTATTTGACTAATTGAACATATATATACTCCGATTTGTCACATAGTATAGCAAATGGTTATAAACTCTTGCAGGGTCATGAGACTCTTAATTAAAAAATTAAAAAAAATATTGAAAATACCTCTAAACTTTATAAGGATTTAGGGTCTTAGTTCAAAAATTTTAAATACAATAAAAGAAGAACCATATATACTATTATTTTAAATTTACATAATATATTTTGAATAACTTAATTTGATCATGAATTCATATATATAATTTTTGAACTATTTGAAATAAATTCACATATTCGAGAACACTAAAAGTAGGGAAAAAGCATAAATATATCCTCAACTATCCAAAATGGTAGGTAAATATCTTCATCATAATTTTGGGACATTGATGTCATTGTCGTCCAAAAATTAGAGCATATATACCCTTTATACTAACGGACGTCATAATCTTATTTACTGATCGACTATTAAATATTGGATTGACGGATAAGATTATGTCACGTGTTCCTATTCAGTCTTCTGTTAGAGTGAAGGGCATATATGCTTTAGTTTTTGGATGGCAGGAGCACCAATGACCAAAAGTATGACGGAGGGTATCTATATATCATTTACGATAGTTCGAGAATATATTTATCCTTTTTCTTCTAAAAGTATTATAAATTATAATAATTAACCATTCGTATAAAAGTTACTATCAAAAACAACTTTGTTTTAAAATTCAAAATTCGAAAAATAGATAGTGAGGGATAGTATATGGCTAAAGGGCAACTCAAAGTTTATGTGTCTTGCAAGTAGACTAAAAAAGTTAATAATAATAATTAAGCAACTTGGCCTATGTAATCATTGTTTAATTTTATCCTCTTGTTGGTATGAATAATAAACTATATTGTTAATTCAACAACTCAAATGTGCAATTAGCAGCCTTGCAAATTGCTGTTATATTATTCAATCATAGTGTAGTTGTTATTTGACTAAAATAAAACATTAGTAGTATAAAAAGTAAAGAAATTAACTCCAAAAATTTGTAAACATTACAATAATGTCTTCTTCTTTAGAATCAAATCTTGTCAACTATGGCTTCCTTATTATCAGTGCAATTTTGTCAATTGTCTTCATTAGTTCCATCAAATCTATCATCAATTTCATCAAAGATACATTACATCATTCCCCTAATCAAGGTTAAGAATCTTTCTTTTGTAGGAATCATAGTTAAGTTTTTTTTTCTTGCTTCTACATCAATTTGTTGATATGTAGTTTCTTGTCCTTATGTTCTAAATCATAGTGTAGATCCCGAGCAGGGGCGGATCTAGGAGGGGGCGATGGTGTTATAAAAAGTTACACTATATATATATATATAAGATATATTTATAGAGGTCTAGGTACTATTTTTTTATTTTCCGAACTCCTTAGTGAATTTTTATTATTTTCGAGCCCTCGTAGTAAAGAAGATCAATAACATACTCAGTGAAATTCCACTAAGTGTGGTCTAAAGGGTAGAGTATACGCAGGCTTTACCATTACCTCATGGAGGTAGAAAGGTTGTTTCTGAATGACTCTCGACTCAAGTGCATCAAACCTAAGTAAAAGAAAACAACGAAAAAAGCATAGTAGTTTTTTTAAAAAAAAAAGTAGTGTAGAGTCTATAAGAAAGAACGAAATTGAAGAACCTGGTCTTTTTTATCATAGTGTCGATATGTGACTTCAGTCGTGTGATCTAAATCGACTTATTAGTGCATGGGATATGATATGATCGTGTTGATTTACGCGTGTTAGGTTGATGAAAACTGTTGAATTGTGTGATCATGTGATCTAAAAGCTTAAGCTGTTAGAGAGAAAACACACTTTTATTTACTTACTTGTGTCTTGTACATTGTTTCTTTGCTAATGAAGGAGGAGAGTCAGATGAAGCTCCTCCTCAAGAAGTTGTACCAATTGAGGTACGTCCAGACATGTCGTTGGATGAGATAAATATACTGACTGATAACTTCGCGGAGAAAGGTCTTATTGCTGAGGGGTCTTATGGCCGCTTTTATGGTGCGACATTAAGCAATGGACAGAAACTAGCAATAAAGAAATTGGATACTGATTCTTCTGCAGAATCAGATACTGTATTCGCAGACCAGGTGAATCGTTTGTGTTCAAGTACTACTATTTTGGAACGAATAGAACAATGTCTCGAAATGTTCTAACATCCTTGTTGTGTATACAGGTACAAATGGTGTCAGGACTTAAACATGAGCATTTTGTGACACTGTTAGGTTATTGCTTGGAAGCAAATAATCGAATCCTGGTTTACGAGTCTGCAACCATGGGCACATTGCATGATGTCTTACATGGTACGTCGATAGTTCATTCAGATTCAGACCTAGCAATTGTATTGGATGATTAGTATTTATTGGATGTTCTGTTTGTATAGGTAAAAAAGGAGTAGAAAATGCTGAGCCTGGTTTAGTTCTTACCTGGAATCAGAGAGTTAAAATTGCTTGTGCTGTAGCTAGTGGCCTTGAATATCTACACAAACATGATGAACCAATTATCCATCGCGATATCAGATCTAGCAATGTACTACTGTTTAATGATTTTACCGCGAAAGTTGCTGATTTCGACTTAACAAATCAGTCTTCAGAGGATTCCACTAGAGTTCAGGAGAGTTATGGTTACCATGGTCCAGAGTAAGCCTTTTGCATTATCAACCTTAAGTCCTAAGCCTAACATATTCTCATTTATCCTCCATTGTGACTCGAACCCTCAACTTAGCATAAAAATCGTGTCATACTAAGATGTTAAGTAAATTATGGTACAGGTATGCCTTGGGAGAAAAGATAACAGACAGAAGTGATGTTTATAGTTTTGCTGTTGTTCTCTTAGAACTGTTGACAGGAAGGAAGGCAGTTGATTATACAATGCCTGAAGGGGAACAAAGTCTAGTTACATGGGTAGATTCTCTTATCCTTTTCCTGCCTAATTGTTAGCTACGTTGCTCGAACTCTTCAAAAACGTCACAGATGACCAAATTTGAAAGTAGTGTACTTTTGGAGGATCCAGCACGAGTTGCAACAACATTTTTGAAGAGTTCGAGCAACGTAGAATTGTTAGTTATGGTTATCTCTATTTTGTGCCTCTGTATCAGACTGATTCATATTCAATGCAGGCAACTCCACTATTAAGTGATGATAAAGTTCAAGAGTGTGTTGATCCAAAACTAAATAATGAGTACCCTACAAAGGCAGTTGCTAAGGTTTTCTACTTGATATTTCATATTTGAAAAGATTCTTGTAAAGCAAACAGGCTTAGTTTTTTATCTCATTATGTAACCACTAGTATTTGGCTCATGTCTTTCTCAGGTGGCAGCTCTTGTAGGACTTTGTATTCAAGAAGAGCCACTTTTCAGACCAAACATGTCAATTATGGTCAAGGCACTGCAGCCACTTCTTAACGCGGACTAAACCAGGATCAACGCCTTGTTCTACAACATACTTTATTGAAACAAACAGATAGAGACGAATTCAGGATTTAAAGTTTATGAATTTCTTATTAACAGTTATCGTGGATCCGCCCTCGCAAACATGGACTAACTTTCAATATTAACAAGGTTGTGGTCCAAGTCAAGAATTCTGGTACTAGCAGATAAAATGTTGTTTTGTTCATGTTCTTTTCTACAAGTCGAAACCATTTCAAGATTTTGCTGTAACCTAAATTTTTCTTCTTCTTTTATTTTGTATTATAAGAATGATACTTGGACAAAACTTTTTTGTTTTTGTTGTAATTGATTCATTATTTACATAAGCTGGGAATTGGAAGTGTGATTACAAGTAGGGATTGTTGGTGCTATATTATTTCTTTTAGATTTTGCACAATTATAATATATGCTCACTAATTATTGAAATGTAGGTCGATAAGTATAGTCTCGCAGGTGGGATTTGACGAGGATAGGATATACACAAACTTTACAGGGTAGAAAGATTGTTTTCGATAAATACTTACCATAGTGTTTAATTATTCCCAAAGGCGAATCCTAACCGAAGCAAATTTGCCCCGGTTCTCTCTTTAGTGTTCGCGTATCAAGCTCGCATTGACCAGTTTAGTTTCTGAGATTGGTATGCTCTATATTAGTAAAAGAAACCCTCGGGTCTTGTTTTGTCTTTACTGACGCCAAGCTACCTCGCCTTTTGTTGGTGAAGTGAATGAAATCGTTAGATTCCCGTTTGGGATCACTGCAATTTAGACCTCGACTAATTCCACGAGACACCTGTTATATTCCCAGAGACATTCTTGTTCTCCATTCTTCTATTATCTTTGTTGAAAGAAAGCAAATGCACAGAAATTACAGAATGAAAGTTGAGAACCAAAGATCCATAATAGAAAAAACCAGCAAGAACATTCATCTATAGAGAATAGGGCTATTGAAATAAATAAACCCAAAGTTGAAAGAGATTACAAGAACAAGGTCACAAGTTTCTGCAGCTTAGTGAGTAAGCAAAATTACAAACTAGCAACAAAAAGAATGATATATGTACTTCCAAGAAACAATTTACACAAAACAAGCGCAAACTATGAACCAAGGCAGTTGCACCAGAATTTGCAAAACTGCCTTCGTCGTGAATACTTTACTTACACTTGGAATACACCTAGGTTATAAAAACACAACAACGAAAGCTATTGACTTGACGAGGGGTTGGCGCTGCCCCTGTTTACTTTGGTTTGGCTATGGTCATGAAGTTATTAACAGATTAGTTTTGGATGTAGCTATAGTTGTTCAGCCTGCTTTGAGGATTCCAAGTGTGGAGGTAAAAGATTAAGGAAACTTCCATGAGCCTGTTGAGAGTCGGTGGCTTCTGAATCCTCACCTACAAACATATAAAAGTACATATATTAGCATGTTTCTTCTTGCCAACTATATCAAATACCCTCTGTCATGATGCATAAGAATAGTAGGAAGAAAAACGAGAAAGAACAAATGAAACAGATGGACAAAATGCTGTAAAGGTATCGGAAACAAAACGCCAACCAATTATCAGATCATTTTCTTGAAAGAAGATTGGTGGCAGGAGTTGAGCTTATGGGATACTGAGGATTCATATAGCCGACCCCAACTTGTTGGGAACTGAGGTGAAGATGTTTTCTTAAAAATGGATAGTAATATCCACTGTTTCGAGCCTCCGGGCTCAGTTCAAGAGGCAAACGTCGAGGGACTAGTGACATAAGTCATAGTTTCGAGCCCTGCACCATGCAAACTAATCCCGGTATTTAAGAGGCGAACCCATTATCCGTGAGTTTTAAAGGCTGCGGTTAGTCCTAAAGGTTGGTCCTTCACGGATTTCTCGGTCATCAAAAAAGATATCTGCTGTTTCCTTCGACAAATTACCACCATGATGGGAAATTCAAAAAAATTCTCTTCACCTCCAACTCCTTAAAATCTATAAACATAAAGGACAGTGATGCTTCAATCCAGTATAAGTTTGCAACTCATTTCCTGGGATAAGGTTTCCTGAGAATGACTACCACTCGAGCAAGTGAAGAAATGGCACTATTATCACCGTTCCTAAGTTATTGCATCTCTTTTTCTAGGGAGCAATGTTTAAAGAAGTAATAATCCCAGTCTACAGTAGTACTATGAAAACCAGATAATTTTAAAAAGGAAGACAGATATCCTACTGAAAAGCGACTTCACAGTAGGCCTCTTAGCTTTGTTGCTCTTCTTCTTCAATTCAGCTGAAAAACAGAAATAAACATTTCAAAACAAACACAAACTGAAAAAGACAAACAAGATAAATCGAATGATTATAATCTACTGCAAGGACAGAATAAGTACCCATTTGAGAAACATCGTTATCATTCACAATCTCAAAGTTTTTGTAAGTGTAACCCATAAAGTTGACATCCTTTGAGGAGAGCATCTGTAACAACAAACAAAAGGGCCAAAACAGGGTTCAACACTGACAGGAATCTTACAAGGACAGCATGATGAAAACAGCAGTAGAAGTTGATGAACCAAATTAGCAGATGATAAATAGCAAAACGAAACATTTTCTATTTATCTTTTTCCGAGAAGGAAAAAAACATATTTTCCTCTTACTCAATACTAACAGTTCTATACGCAAATTTATTACCAAACTAGTTCCTGATAAAGGAGGCAGCATCTTACCTATCAACTGTCTTTTACCCATTATCCTTTACAATGCCTCAGAAGTAGTTCAACTACATGGATTTTTTCGATTTGGAAACAAAAAACCAACCGTATACTTAATTCTAAAAAAGTACAGAATTTATCTACAAAAAAACCAGCACCTCTGTATGATCATTAGCAGCTCAACAAACAGATATATCTGTTTTGATTTCACTGTCAATTCGGCTCAATTGTCACATAGAGAAGTAGTAAACAGGAATTCTAATTTGTCATCTACAAACTGCATTTGGACTGTGATAAGTAAACAAAGCAAATGGCTACTCCCAGAGAACTAGCCAAAATTCAAGTTTGCATATGCACAGTGAAGTTAGAATAAAGACCATATAAATGGTTCTTATCAGCTGATTATTCAATTGCAGAATGCATTAGCAGTTTCCAAAATCATCTCTATCAGTTGATAATTCAAATGCAGAATGACAATGTTAACCTCACTTCAACATGCACCTATGAATATGAATTCACTAGCAGTTTATTGGAACTAACCTTCCTCCATGGACCTGATTTTGCTGCAGTTGGAATTTGATTGTCGCCCTGCAAATCAAATTTGCAAAAGAAAACATGAGAAACAAGCAAATAAGAATAGCACCAAAAAGGTTACAGTAGCATTGATGGGGAAAAAAGAGTGAGCAGCGCCCCGCATACCTCTTCAAACTTCTCAAAATTCTGAGTATCCAACTCGCCATTAACTTCTGGAATAAATGCAGCTTTCATTTGATAAAGTTTATCCCATTCAACACCTTTGAACCATGGGTGAGCCTGAAGGACAGTTAACCAATTAAATTTTGTCCAAGTTCAATCCCATTCTAAGTGTTCACGGGATTTCACATTGAATACACCAAGTACCTTTATTTCATCAGCACCTCTGGTCCCAAGTCTCTGCTCCACATTACACAAGAGTTTACATATGAGATCTTTTGCTTCTGGAGACAGTTTTGCCTCTTCAGGAAATTTAAGATGAGTCCGCCAATTTACTATCTGTAACAAGACAAAAGTTAATTGTCAACAACAACGAATCACAATGGAACTTAAAGTTGGAAAGCTACAATATTTGATGCAAATATTCCAAGTTTTCACCAAAGGTTATATACATTATAATTGATGCAATAGAGCTGATCCAGTGTGGCATTTCAATGGTTGAAAAGTGTGAGAAGAGCAAGATTAAAATCAGCACGAAGAGAACGCTTAGAAGTCATCTTGGGCAAATGTTGCTAAATGCAATAATCATGTTTAGACAACGTGACAGATTTTTTTGGACCTTACCCCTATGTCACAGTGAAATGGCTATGCATGTCAAACAAGAACATATAGGTATCAAGATCCAATCACTGAATAGTGATTGAACCTCTCTCCCTGTAGTCTAAAATTGGTCATGCAGCAAATCCATTTAAAACTTGTTTTTCCTATACAGATACTTATGTGCCTAGAAAGATGTCATAAGAATGCATTCATTCCAGGTTGACTTGTGTGAACTGCTGAGATATTAAGTTCGTAAATATTGAAATGCACATATAGACCATCTATATATAGTGGAAACACAAGGCTACATGTCATCCAGTTTCTACAATTCCAATAAATTTCTCGAATATAGGCTTCTGCCCAAGGATATTTGGTGTCTCAGACTCTGGATGAACAAAACTGAGCATGAGATTCTGCACCATAAAACTTAGATAGGCATGACTCAAATGCATAATGATAATGTTGAACTGTATTACTTCCTCTTGGTCCTTTCCATATAAGTGAGACACTGAATGAATTATAATGATTCCAAGCAAATAGCCGACAAGTGTTTCCTTCACATACCAAACTGCTCACTGTGCTCAGACAAACAATTACATTTCCAGGTCTCTTAGCAACTTAGACATGGCCCATAGAGCAGTCTTTGAATGTTATCTAGGTAAAAAGTTCAAGTTTATTGGCGGACTATTGAATTTCTATTAGTAATATCCTCGTCAATCTAATAATTAGAAGCAGGTCAGACGTTTTGTACCCCAAACCAGAACACTAACTAACTGAAACACCAGAATATCTGAAGTCTCCAACATAACCCAAAAGTTGAAGTCAAACAAAAAAATAGCTACGGCACAAGTAACAAGACCAGAGGTATGAATGGGCAGAGATAACAACCAGTAGATTGCAAACACTAAAGACTTTTAAGAAGACCCAAGGAGCAAATTCCAGTTCTTACCTTTCTACAGGTGGACATAGGTTCATCAGAATAGAACGGTGGGTACCCCACGAGCATTTCATACATGATCGCACCAAGTGACCACCTGAGAGAGGAATACACGGAAAATGTAATAAAACCATATAAGCTTTGACTAGAAAAAGAGAACAAAATACGAAGATACTGACCAATCACATTCACATCCATATCCTTTCTTCAATAAAACCTCTGGAGCAATGTAATCAGGTGTCCCAACAGTGGAATAAGCCTGCAGTACTTCATTGTGTTAAAATGATTACATGTAATGAATACAAGGAGCTACATAAAATAACCATTTGGCACTGTCCCCTCCTAAACAGAAGCAGGGATAAGGGAAGAACTCTTACCAAATTGTACAAAAAGAACATCAAAAAGGAATCAACCAAATACTTCCAGACCCAGTCCAGCTGCTAAGGTCCAGTTAAAGGTACTACTTGAGATATGAAATAGGGATCAGAAGAGAGGATATGAAAATAGTAACTAGAGGGAGTGCATAGCCATGGAGCATATCACACTCAAGTATTGAAAAGTAAACTCTGTTGACAAATCATGAGACCAAGAGAAGTGATTATAGAGAACTAATAAGAGAGAGAGAAGTTGATCAGAGAAAGGAGGTGACAAGGAGAGAGAATGACAGTTCACTTTACTGCAAGATTTTTTGTCCTCAGTAGTAACTTTAAGAGTCATTCATGCACCAGTTCACAACACAGAGGTGTGCAACATCCTCCACGACCTAAAGGGGTATATCACATTCTTAGTCAATTCACCAATCCTAAACCGCTAGGAAATTCAGCTGTTGAACATAATCTCTACTCCAACCCCAAAGTGGTATAGCAGGTTCCATCTCTCTAACTGACTTTCTCTCTCATTCGTGGAGCGAAGAAAGGAGGATTTTTCCCAGCTACTGTTATCCATGGAAAACTAAAAGAACTACCAAAGGGAACACACAAATACACACACACATATATATATATGATGGCTCTGATGCAGATTATGTTCTCTCTCCTATTCTAATATTTTTACTTTAAAGGGCATCAGAGGGAAGGCAGTACGGTT